AGCAGCAGGAAGGCTCGTCCCACGCAGAGATCCCCACATCCCCTCACCACAGCTGCGGTTCCAACGGGAAAGCAGCGCAGGGGAGGGCCCTGTCCGGGTGCGGGAGGCAGCAGGGGGCTGGGCTGGATGCAAAGGAAGGAGAGATGAAGGCAAGGTTTGGCTCCAAAGGAATCCAGCACTGTGCTCACCCCTGTCCCAGCGATCAGGGGTTCACAGTGGCTGAAAGTGGACGGTGGAGACGAGAGTGGCTGGTGGGGGGGGGGCGGGGGGGCATCCACCTGTCACTGCTCCATCCCAGGTGACAGCCCTGTGGACATGCAGCACCTGCACCAAGCTGGATCCCATCCTGCAGGGAGGGCACGGCTGCCCCTGAGGCCAGCACAAGGCACAAGGGTGACCCTGTGAGCTCTGTCACACTCTGCCCTGTGCCTGCCAATGCCTCCGGCTTCAGCAGAGCAGGGGCCCAGGAGCTGAGGCATAACAGACCCCAGCCCTCCACCCCAGCCCCAGCTCCTCTCCCTGCATGGGGGGTGCAGAGCCGTGGCCCCTCTAGCACCCAGCAGCATCTACGAAAATACTTTATTGTGGAGGGGTGTGCAGGAGCTCTGTACAGTGTGACCCGGCAGCAGTAGCGCAGTCACCAGCAAACAGACACACAGTGCTGGCCCCCAAAGCCCAGCTGGGGGGCAGTGAGAGCTGGGGCCCTGCAGCTCCTATGTGGCCTTCGGCCGCCCATTGAGGCGGATGATGGCCCGGTAGTCCCGCACCAGGTCCCGCAGCTGGTCCAGGTAGGGGCTGACGTTCTCCTCCATCCACTCCTCCACCGTGTCAGGGAAGTAGGTCCTCTCCAGCTGGGCACGCAGGTCACGGACGAAGCTCTCCCAGTCCTCATGGAGCCTGGAGGAGGGAGAGTAGGGGTTCAGCTCTCTTCTGTGAGGGACCCCAGAGCTGAGCCTGGGACCCCTCCCAGCCCTGCAGAGGCACCCAAGGAGGGTCCCAGCCCACAGCACCACATACTTGAGCACTTTGCTGCCAAAGCTCTCCATGTTGCGAGGGTTCCCAAACTGGCGCTTCCTGTGGTAGGGGCTGAACCAACCCTTGATGGCACTGGGGAGACATGAGAGAGTGGGTGCACAGAGGCCACCAGGGATGGGGAGCTGCACATTGCGCCAGTCCCTTCCCGTGGAAAAACTCCTGTGCTCCTGCCTTATGGCCAGAGCTACCGCCCCTGCTGCCTCCCACCACCTGTCACCTCTCCTCCTCCAGCGACTTGAGGATGCTCTCCTTCAGGTGGCCATTAACCTGCTCCACCATGTGGTAGATCTCCACACCAGGGAATGCTCCCCTGCCTTCACTGGGGAAAGGGAAGAGGAGGTGAGCCCAACACATGGGGTGCACTGGGCTGGGTGAACCCCAGGGCATTTGGGTGACCAACCCCCTGCTCCCCTCCAGTGCACCCCTTCTGATGCCACAATCATGCTGTGCCACTCACCAGGTGCTCTGCTCCAGCTGCACACCCTCCAAGCCCAGCACATCCAGAACCTTCCTCTTTGCCTCTTCCGTGAAGCCCCCTGGGGAGGGTGAGGAGAAGGACTGAAGGGCTTGGGCCATTCCACCATCAGGATGACCCCTGGCTTCACTGCACCCCCAAAACTGGGGGAGCTGAAGCTGTCTCTCCCTGCCTCCCACCTCTCCTCTGCACCCTTCCCATCAGGACAGGGTCTGGCAGGCAGTGGGAAGTGTGGGTGAGCCCAGCAGGGCCGGCGGGGCTGGTGGCTCACCATTCACCAGGGTCTGCAGGCAGATGGCCAGCGAGGGGATGCTGACAGGCAGCAGCTCACAGAGCACCGAGTAGTGATCATACCTGCAGAGCAGGGACAGCCACATCGTCACCTCCTGCACTGCCACCAGTACAGCTGTGTCAGCACCGGGAGGACAGGGTGGGGGCCCCACCACCCCTTACCTCTGCCAGCCTGTCAGGGCGATGCCCTGGAAGCGCAGCGGGGCCAGCCGTGGCAGGGCCTGCATCACCTTCAGCCAGCTCAGGTGGTTTTTCAGGTGGTAGCTCAGGGGGGTCCAGGTCTGTGCCGGCCCCGTGGTGCCCTTGAAGGCACTGGCAAACCACACAGCCTCAAAGCCGCTCTCTGCATACTTGGCCAGGAATGGCCCTGCAGTGGGACAGAGTGAGCCGCTGAGCAGAGGCTGTGGGAGGCTCAGGGGGATCCCTCCACCATCCCCTGAAGCCTGGCATATCACCTTACCAATCTGCTCAGCCTCGAAGTCCGGCGAGTAGAACCACACCATGGGTGAGACACGCTTTGCTATCCCAGACTCTGCAGGGAGAGCAGCATGGGCACATTGGCACTGATGCCAGCAGCAGGAGGATGCCTGGAGATCCTCATGCTTCCCCAAGACCCACATCCCTGTAAATCCAGGCACAGGCTCCTGCCAGCAACAGGCGTGACACCTGCTAGGGCAGACATGCAAAACAGGCACTGCCAGGACACCCATCTGAGGTGCCACCACTGCTGTCCCTGTCCCCTCACCCCGAAGGGCTCCCACGCTGATCTTCCTCAGCATGTCGTCCCACATGAGCGCCCGCAGCCCCCAGTACTGCGCGGCGAGGAAGCCCAGCACCTCCTTGATGTGCTTCAGGTACATGGTCCCCACGTCACCCCTGTTGCGGCTCATCCAGTTCTTAGAGTCCATCCCCTCCCCGAGATGGAAAACCTGAACTTGGGGGAAGAGGAATGCTCAGCACCCCTGGGAGCAGCCCTGGTGCCTGGGGTGAGGGCTGGGGTCTCCGCACAGCCCACTGCTCACCTCATCTGCACCGATGTGGATCCAGGTGGAGTGCCTATGCTTCTCAATCACCTGCGACAAGATGCTCTTGAGCAGGGCCAGGGTGTCAGGGACATGGGGGTTGAAGCTGTTGGGGAAGCGCTCGACCTCCCGCAGGTGCTGGTACTTCTCGTGCTTGAGGATGAACTGCAGGGAGGAGACATCAGGAGGATTTCCAGGGGAACCCGCCGTGATGCGGGATGAGGAGCGGCACTGGGATTCCCTACCTCCACGTGGCCAAAGGTCTGCACCAGGGGAACCACCTCCAGCTTGTGTTGCTCTGCCAGCTGCTGGATTCGCTCGATGTCCTCCTCACTAGAGGGCAGGGACAGGCTCAGGGGGGGATGCCAAGCTAGAGGGCAGTGCGTGGGGGCACTCTCCCTCCTCCTCCTTCTCCTCCTCCTCCTCTGGCACCCTACCCACACAGCCCTGGCTGCCCCACACCTGTGTGGACTTTGTTATGGGGCACAAATATTGACCTACTGGGGCAGGAAGCTGGTCAGCTGGCAGCACAGCCTGGCACTCTGACCACGGTAATCGTGGGCACAGGGCCAGGTGGGTCACACCCAGCCCCCAGCACACGGCATCCACTGGGGCTGCACGGAGTAGCTGCTCTGCACACAGCTACACTCACCTGTAAGCGTACGGGGACCTGAGGACTTCCAGCTCTCCCTTGAAGGGGAACATGTCCTCGTACTCGATGAGGACACCGTTGGCACCCAGCTGGGACAGGAGAGGGAACAGCTGTGGGGAGGGCAGGGTGGGCTCAGTGACAGGGAGGACACAGTCCCTGGTGCCAGCAAGTCAAGCCCCCTCAGTGCATCCCTCATTGGCACCTCCTCCCTGTCCCTGTGCATCCTCACCTGCTCTAGGTAGGAGACTCTGGGTGCAGCTCCCTTGAGATCCAGGTGGACCAGCCTCATCTCAGTGGCACTGACATCCTTGGGGACCTGCTGCCCAGACTCTTGTCTCAGGGCTGTTATCTTTGCTGCTGGGAGCTCCAGAATCTGGCTCTGGGGGATGATGTTCTGGACAATGTCACCTGTGTCCCCCCAGAACCCGCTGTCCTTGCTGATGTGCTTGTGCAGCTCCAGGGTAAAGCTGCAGGGAGCAAAGCAGGGATGGAAGTACCATGGGGCACCAAGCATCCACACGGGCATGACCATGGGGCTCCCACAGACCCCAACCCCCTTGGGGTCCTGCTGTCATCTCACCTGTCACGGAAGAGGAACTTGATGCCAGCCAAGGCGACGAGGAGCAGCACGACGAGGCGCAGAAGGTTCAGCCTGTGGCTCCGCTGGAAGGCCATCTCTGGGGACACATACAGGTCCAGCACCCCACGACCAGCAGTGGCCAGAGGGACCCCAAGCACAGGTGACCCCACACAGCCCTGCGTACCGTGCCCTGCTCCCCTGACCCGGGCAGCACGAGCCTCAGAGAAAGGTGACATGGGGGAGCCCCATCCAGACACACTGGTCCCCATGAGGGATGTGTACAGCAGTGCCCCATGTCCCTCCTACCTCGTGTGCCCCAGCGTGGGGCCAGCAGCTGGATCTGCCTCTCCCTCTGCCCGCGAGGGTGTGGCCAGCGCCGGAGCAAACAGGGTGGTGGCTGCAGGGCAGGTCCAGGGGATCCACTCCGGCTGCTGGTAACCCCCGAGAGAGGGGCCGTGTCAGGGGGTGGCTCGGTGGGGTGGCATCACGGGCTGGGCAGCCCTGTGGAGGGAGGAGAGAGGATTGGGGACCACCTGGGCACATGCTGGCACTGGGCTGCTCTGGGGATGGCACTGGCACTGCCACAGGCACTGGCAGGATGAGGGTGGCAGCCCAGACCCCCTTGGCACCTGCAGGGACCGTGTGAGACACTGTGTTGTGTCCAGTTAAACCAGTGTTTGATCCCTGATGAGACACAGGACAGGACATGAGGGCTGCAGGGATGAGCTCTTGTCACAGAGATGCTACAATTAAGATTATCGAAATTCATTTGAAGTCTGGTTTTCCTCTACCAATTTTGAGGACTCCTGAGATGGGGATCTACCTGTTTAGATGAAAGCGAGCCCAAAGCAGTGTCTGTGTTTCCTGTGGCCACAGCTTGAGGGACAGCACAGAGTTCCATACCCAGTGGAGATGCTCAGCCAGGCCAGGCCCCGGTGAGCACAGCACCGGGGACACCGCTGTCCCTTCGGGCACTGCTCCTGCAAACCCGGGGAGCCATTGGCCTCTGCAGCCCCAATGCAGCAGGCAAAGCACCACAGCACCCGGTGTCCTCTCCAGCCTCCTCGGGCTCCTCCTCGCCCGCGGCCCTGCTCACAGGCGCGACAGGAACTGGCCCCCGCCGCAGGAGCCTAGAGCCACCCTGCTGTGGGCAGCACATCCTTCACAGCCCTGCGGCACAACAGGCAGGATCCCCCTGGAAGTCACACACAAGCATCATTTCTGCCTTTTTTCTCTTTTTTTCCCGGTTCTGGTGTATTCGGTGCGGCAGGGCCGGTGCAGCGCATCCGCCCCCGGCCCTGCGGCCACTACGGACGCCGGCACTGCCACCGGCCCTTCTGGTGACTGCCACCCAAACATGCCCGAGCTCAGGGTTAAATTCAGCGTTGGCAGCTTTGGGAAGT